CCAAGGGGAAGCCACCTCCCCAATTTTGAGAAACACATGAGCACAGTCCCGAAAAATTTTCCGGGGGAAGCATCACTTCCTATCCCGCCTGGAGGAATGGCCTTTCGGGAGCCGGCCTTTCGGGGGGGGCTCAGGGCGGGGGTTCCAACTTCTTGGAGCTGGAGTCGTCTTTTCTTTTTTGGTTTTGGAGGGAAGGCAAAGAAGCAGAAGGAAAGAGTCAACAGCTTCCAAGTGGCTCAAGGGCTTCCGGGTGACACGGGAGGACCGAGAGAAGCACAAGGCGGAGCGGCGCAAGCGCCAGCGCCTTCGCGCGAAGCTGCGACAGCAGCGGTTGGAGCTGGAAGAGGACGAGGACCGGAAATCGAAAGAATAAATTAAAGCCACGTGGCTGTGGTTGTCAAAATCAATGGGATCCCATTTTGAGGTAGCTGCACCACCCATTTTAGTTCACTGGGGGTACGATTTGGCTTTTGACCCATGGCCACGTGCTTGGCTGTCTACTGGGGATGGTTGCGAAGAAATTGGAACTGCACCACGAAACGAAACCATGGTTGACAGCATTGTTTGTTGGTATTTACAACAATCATCATTCCAGGATCTTTTTAGCTGGTGCAGGATTTTGTCCATGCATAGCATCATCTCTTGAGGAAATTCAGAGGGTAAATTGCCTTTTGTCGGGGTGATCACATGGTGTTTGAAGAGGACATAAGGGTTTTTCCTTCTTTTTGGCAAACGTTTTTTCGTTGTGGCCCCCAGAAGGTTATGTTCGTAGCTCCGAACTGGGCGACTGAACATTGTTGGCTTCAGTTCACTCTTGAGACACAATGTGCAAACCGAAATGGTGTCCGTATTTCTGTTCTTTTGGGGTCCTTGGTACTGTAATTTTTGAGGGTTCCCTTTTTCGTTGGTTTTACAGGGAAACCAAAAGGACAACTCACCATTTTGTGGGTCCCCTAAAAACAAGACGGTCTCAGATTGAATCCACACGTCCTCCGCTTAAACCGCCTTTTTTCTCCCCTGGATGGGCAGCTCGTTCCTCAGCACAGGACAGCTCCTGCAACTCCGCCTCCTCCCTGGACTCGGGGCGGGAAATCACCCGGACCCGCTCCTCCCCGCATCTGCGGCGGAGTAGCTGGGTGGACGAGACACGAGACTCACGAGACAGGCGGAGGGGTGCGATCGAGCGGGGACGCTGGATGTCCAGAAAATCAAAAATTAGTTGCGAATTTGTGAACCCTGGATGGAAGTGGGGGACTCACTCCCGCAAAAAGCCAAGGGGCAATCCTACAAAATCCCATATCCACTAGGGGAAGCAAGAACAAACTGCCCAACCTCACTGAGTTTCTCGTGGGTCGGGGAAGCAAGCACCCTGTCCTGAAGAGTCTTCCAGGTTTCAGGTTCCATAATAAATGTGGCAATTTCCACCCACCCGACAATCACCCCTTACCCGGCCCCAACCCCTCCCCCAACCCCAACCGCGACCTCTCTGACCTCCACCCCAACCTCCCCACCCGAAGGATCTGGTTCCAGGTTCCATGGTGCCCCGACCTCCCCACCCCTGGCCTCCCCTTCCTGGACCTCCCACCCCCCAGCCCCCACCAACCCCCCACCCCCACCAACCCCCCAACCCCCCCTCTCCCCACCGCCCAACCCCCAACCCCTGCACCCCCCAGCCCACCACCCCCGCTCCCCACCCCTGGACCTCCCACCCGACCTTCCGCGCAGGGAGCCGGAGGTTCTGAAGCTGAGGCTGGCCCAGGAGGAGATGCAGCGCCTGCAGGCGATCGGCGATTCGCTCACGGCCTTCAGCCGAGCGATCTCGGGCGATCGGCCTCGGGCTCTCCGGCTTGGGCGGTGAATGCATAAATAGATAAGCGAATATATATATATATATATTTTCATAGATGAATGAATAATAGCCAATAATACAATAAATGCATAAAGACAGAAATAACACAACTCACCAGCTGACTAAACACATAGATACACAAAGACATATAAATACATAAACAAGCAAGCAACCAAAAAATCAGTGCCTAACCAACCAACCAACCAACCAACTAACCATCCAACTAGCTGACTAACTAACTAGCTAGCTAACTAACTAACGAACGAGCTAACTAGCTAACGAACCAACTAGCTAACTAGCTAACTGGCTAACTAGCTAACGAACTAAGTAACCAATTGATAAATAACAAAACACATAGCTACACAAACATATATATATATATATATTGCTTGATGTTAGTCATTTTTTCTGGTAATTTTGCATTTTTTGGCCAAACTTGGGCACCAAGGAAGGGGGTGTGCCACAATTCTACAATTAAGAATTATGTGACAATCTGGAATTCAAGATTCAACATTTCAAAATAATCTTTTTCTGGGAATCTTGAGTATTGATTCTTGCATCTCATTTTTTCTTCTGGGATTCAGGATTCAAGATTCAAGACTTCAAAATACTCTTTTTCTGGGAATCTTGAATCCTGAATCTTGAATCCCGGCATTTATATATATATATATATACACATTTTAAACCTGGGATTCAAGATTCAATACTCAAGATTTTAAAATAATATTTTTCTAGGAATCTTGAATCTTGAATCCATTTCTTTTAAAACCGAGATTCAAGATTCAAGAGTCAAGATTTTAAAATCATCTTTTTCTGGGAATCTTGAATCTTGAATCTTGAACCCCATTAAAAAAACGGAAAACATCAGGGATTCATCCAGAATTTTGAATCCCAGAATAAACAAAAACTGGGAACAGGAAAAACATGTTGTGATCCAGCCGCCTCAAGCTACCATTTGCAATCTGTTTGTCTCATCTTCCGCAAGACGTCTTCCTTCAGCGTGTTCGGCGAGGTCGCGATGCACAGCGGCAGGGCTACAATTGTGGCTCCAGAGCCCGCGCCGCCCAAATGCAAGTCGCGCCCTTATCAACGTCCGACTACTAATTCCATCATCATACAGGCCGTGCAGGATGGCCGCCTCTCAGTGCATGCGAGTCGGATGCCACTGAGCAAGCCACTGAGCAACATGGCAATCGGAGTCATATTCAGCAACATCTCTAAGAACTTGCACCTCCAGCCTGGTCGCAAGGGGGGCTGGTCTCACGAGGCGCAGAACATGCTCATCCAAGCGCTCAAGAAGCCCAAGCGGGGGCAGGTCAAGCCCGTGCTATCCATTGAAGATAAGAAGGACAGTGGCACGGAGGACGCAGAGGGTGGCCAGACGGCATGGACTCAGACGTCAAGAAGTGCCTCGGATCCTTTGTTGCCTCTTGCCAACATGTCGGGCCATCTCATGGACAGGGCGCTTGCATGCTTGCCGCGAAGCAGCTGACCATCTCCAATTTGGCAGAAGCTGTATCCGGCCCACGCACCCCTGAGGACAACCTTTCTCTCCAGGATTCCGCGAACGGAGTCAACAGAAAGGTGAAGTTTGTGGCCGTCCTCTTCGACGCCCACATCGGTGTTGCTAAGTGTGGCAGTGGCACTAGTCTCGGACGTCTAGCCATGTCTGGCCAGCTAGGCGACCTACCTCCGTCCATCCGTTTTCAAAGCCCTCTCCCAGGAACAAATGGACCTCATTGTGTCGAACCTGGGCGTCGCCTACCTACCTTGACCTGTTTCCCAACAGCTCGCAACATCACTCTGCGGCGGGGGGCAAGGATATGTTCCAGTGTTCCGACGGGGTCCTTGGAATGTCAAGGAGGCATTGCTGTGCCTCCTCGACCAAATTCCCGGCCCCCCCAACGAAGAGCTTATGGAAGGCATCACGTTTATCAACAACCAAGCGCCGGAGTGCGACGCACGCAATGAACAAACATATTGGATTCTGATCAACATCAAATCAGATTTGATTTCAATCGCCCTATCGCTTGTTGGCCAGAAGCCAGAGTGCGGTTCATGGTTCAGAACAAGAGCAAGGGCATGGCTGGAGCTATGAGCTTGCGATGTCATCCTGGGGTGCTTTCACATTCGCCGGCTAGGCTTAGAAGGTGCTAAGCCTGGATGGCGCAGGGCCAAGTCCTTGGACAACGTGTGCCACAGGTGCAAGAAGCATACGATCCTTCCCGAGAGAAGGTGAGCGTTGCCTTGAAGAGTTTCATGACCGTAGATGGCACCTGCGAGGTTTGGTACAGTGACATGCGCGTGGTGCGCGGGCATGTGCGTCTAATGATTTGGCAGAAGACACATCCACCACCTCGCCTGGAGACATCCCCTTGGACCCGCCCGATTTCTTCAAGCTCTTGCGCCGCATTTTTGCAGGCGATCAAGAGAAGGATGTTTTAGCTGTCCTGAAGAGGACGGCCGTCTGCGTGTTCAGTGACACCGGGCTCTTTGGTAAATCCGCGTCTGCTCCCGTGATGCTGTACATTGGGGTGCAAAATCTAGTTTCAAACGCTGTCGCATGTCCTTCATCTACTGTCCAAACAAAAGCAACTCCTGTCAACAAATGAACCTGTCTTCAGCACACCTGTCATCTTGCGAACATGCTTGGCGCACGATGTCCCAAATAATCATTGCAAGCCCGCTTAAAATGATCTATTGTAAAAAATCAAACTCTACAGCCAGCTCGCTGAAATCAAGCAAAACTTAGGCACCAGCGGGGGGGGGGGGGCCGTAGCATATATATATATATACATATATATATACACACATGCTTTCACATTGGTTGGTGCTGGTTGAGGTTTCATGCGCCTATACAAGCATCGATGACATATCTTTGGTTTTTCTTCCGATTTCCCTTTGAACCCACACAACCTCAAAGCAACCTCAAAGCCACCCTAATCCCCCCCCCCCCACCCCCCTCAACCCTAAACCCACCACCAGCGACGCCTAACAACAATCCACCGCGTACCTCCCGTGCTACGCGGAGGTCGAACGGGTATGGGTCAGAAACGGTCAAAATAAAACCACCAGGTTTTTAGTTTGTGGTTCCATTTCCCGGCAAGCCATTTTGGGTACCTATTCACGAAAGCTAGCTTTAGCTAGCTGAAGTTTCTCCTTGCGTAAGCAAGGTAAGGGGCTCAAATGCCGAAAGATTGATTTTTTCAATTATTTGAGCCGAAAAGATTGAAAAACATCAATTATTTAGACCCCCCCCCCCCGGGTCTCAGGCTCGATTCCTCCCTGGTCCATCCCCCCCCCCCGGGCAGTGGCTCAGTGTTCAGCAGTCTCGGTTTGCCCGTTTTGGACTTGGTGCTACGAACTTTTACATGTTCCACCGATTCAGCTCACCTCGCAAGAATCTTTGCACACGCAGCATGCAGAACCCAGAGGTGCTTTAAGACAGCTTCTGACGCCTCTCGTTGTTTTCATTTTTCAAGGTTTGCCACGCCACCATGTGCGTTTGCGTGTCGCATCCTACGAATCTTGCCGGGCCTCTCGTTGTACACAAGCTACCTATGAATCCACTCTATCACCGACCCATCTCATGCAACAACTGCTAGCTTTCGTTCACCCGCTCCTCAAGTTTTGACCCACAGCCATTTGGGTATTTAGCTACGGGGATCCAAAATTGTGATTCTCCTTTTGGCTTCCCGCAACTCCAAGGCAAAAAGGGCACCCTCCAAAAAATACACCCCTGTCTGTCTCTTTTGGAGGCGACGTACCTGAAAACGGGGTGGCTTGAAAAGGAAACCAACCCCGAAGCGCAGCATTAAACCGGGTTCGCGGTTTCGCGGTTTCGCAGCCTGGCCAGACGGGTTTCTGCGACCTTTTCGACCTTTTTGTTTCTTCTGACGTTCGCAGCCAAGTTTCGCAGGCGACGCTGCACGAGGCAGTGCAGGAGCTGCGGCGGGAGCTGCTGCAGTGCCTGGAGCGGAGCGAGTCGAAGAGGACGGGTTGGGCGACGGGTGGAGGGTTTCATCCCAAGCGGTTTGGGGGGGAGGTGGGGGGAGGGAGGGGGGAGGGGAGGGGGGAGGGGAGGGTAACGGGATTTGAACTCGTAGAGGGAACCTCATGGGCACCTGAAAAATGGGACTGGGAGAAAGGGATTTCGACCCGGTTGCGGGGGAAGACTGGCTTGGATTTTTTTGGGACCCCCACGCCCCTCCTTAAGCCTTAAGGTAGGGGGCTAAGTCCTGGGGCTTATGAACCATCACTTTTTCGGGGTCCAGGAAGGGTCACAACTTCAACCCTCCACATGTTTTTGGTAGACACTTTCAAAGGGTCAGTCTTTTGTGATAGAATGGTTCTGCAGATCAAGGTGCTCGCTAAATGCGGTGGCCGGCATCGGAAGAATTTTGGCGGACACTCCCTGAGCCAAGCCCCCAAACCTGAGCCAGGCTGAAGGTGTCTCACAACCCTACTCTCTTTGGGCCACTCGAGAGAACACGCGTGACACTTCTGGGGTGCCGTGACACTTATGGCTTTGCTCTTGGTTTACCGGTCACAACAGTGATCCTGTATTTCATCAAAAGCAATATTGTACCACATTGATAAACTCAAATTTTCAACACCAATACTTCAAATCGCAACCGTAGACTGGCCTCAAACAGGCGCATCAGTTTGTCAAGTTGGATTCAACCACCACCCACACGAGGAGCCTCGCCCTGGCGCCCGCCTCTTCCGCCGAGATCGCTCCTGCGCGATCTGAGCCGCGCGAGGCGCGAGGCGCGTCCGAGGCGGACCCGTGGCCCTCGGGGTCTTTGGACGCCGAATGGCAGACGTGGCCGGCGCGGTCGACGTCGCAAGCGGAGAGGCCGACGGAGGAGTTGGACAAGGCGGAAGACTGGAAGCCATGGAAGCCGGGCTACGGCCTGCAGTTCCCGCCCGTTTGAGCGGACAGATTTGGGTGCAGAGGTTTTTCTACATGAGTCCTAGCAGATTGCTGCCTGGAAATCTGCGGAATCGCCCCTTTTCCCCTTTTCTTCCGGTTCGCAGGCTCTTGCGGTTCTCACCGCGAATACCGTCTCACTCATGGAGCATTGCGAATGTGGAAGGTTTTTGTCCGAAACCGACACGATGCGAATGTGGAGCGGCAGGGATGCGGGACTTGCCATGGTGCCACTGGGAACCCGACCATTCTCAGCAAACCCTGTCGGGTTCTAAAAAAAGGGGTTTCCGCTTGCACAGGACAATCTTTGTCACAGCTATCCATTTGGGGCCTTGCTGGAACTCACTTCGGGTTGGACAGTTGAACAGTTTGTGGGGAAATCACCTTAACTAATCCCCTAGGTAGTTCCGATGGGAATTAATCACTTCGGGAAAGATGGGGTATGGTTTTCGTTGTGGTTTCCCTTTCAATCCATCCCAAAAAGGGCACCCTCAACAAAAGACACGCCCGAATCAGATTTTTGGGCGACACAAATTCCGTGCATCTCTGGCTCCGATCGATCTTGAGGCGGCCATGGTGCCGGATCCATTCCGGCTGTCGACGGTGCCCAGGAGCACGGCGCATGTTTCAGGAGCTACCACCAGGCCCCAGTTGCAACCAGTGGCGCCCCCTTTTTTCCTTTTTTTTTGTTGGGAAGGGTTCCTTTTTAAACTCGACCAACTACAAAAGGATGCCCATTTTTTTCATGGCCACTGGGCATGTGAGAGGCTAACCGGCACTTCCTCCTTTTATTTGGATGTTTGACCAAGTTGAGTGATTAGCCTCTGCAGTCACATCCCACTGAGGGAGACTTACACGTGAGAGTTATAACGTAGGTTACCAACAACTTACAAACTCGGCCCAACACCCAAGTCAAGGTTCGCTTGACATGGGACCAGAATCAACAAATTCTATTTTGGCAGGGCAGAGGTAGCTAAATGGAGAGGACAGTGGCGCCTAAGGACCTTTACACCATGCAGCTCTATGAATGGTTGGAGCGCGGGATGAAGGTAAGGCCCGATTTTTGTTTCTGCCGGACCTGCCTTTCTGGTCGTTACCTCTTTTTGGTTATGCCTTCAAGACGACTTCCAAAAGTGGAAGAGGACTTTCCAAGTTCACCGGAGATGAGGCAAAAAGCGAAGCCCTATGCCTTTGAGTCGGTAACTTCTTGGGGTTATGAGGTGAAGCCCAGGAAAGCCCAACGTGAGGTTTGTTCCCCTCTGAATGACCGTGCCAGCCTCAAACGAAACCGGAGATCCATTCTTCTTTGCTCTGAATGGGGATGGGGAGGGCTGAATGGGTGTCCTGAACCTTGTGCCACGTTGCAACCACCTGAGGGGCAAACGACACCCTGGACGGCCTTGAGGGCTATGAGTTTTGCCAACAAGCGCCCTAACTGCGTGGTTTGCTCCAAGCACGTCATAGATCCAAAGGCTCCTATCGATTTCACCTCAGGCACGGGCGTTGGGGAGTTGAAAGGCTCCCGAAAGTCGCGATCCGAGACGTCCGCTGGGCCGAAATATGTTCGACATTTCGCCAGGACTGCTGCCAGTTAACAGAGAATCCCAGTTCCCTTAGGCACAAAAAAGCTGTTCAAGAAGCGAGGTCGTTTTTTGGAAGCTCTTTTGTGGTCCCTGTAGAAGATAAGGCCACATCGGGTGACTTCGCTTTGCACCCCACAACATTGGCTTCACGCCGGACATGGCCATGCGCAGGACTGCAAAGCCGGGCGAGCAAAGACCCTCGCCCGGCGACCCGGGAGCTGGAAGGTTTTCGTGGGTTTTCTGCTGGTCTTGAAGTCTTGAGGGTTTGATTTCGTGTAATGTTAACCCCGGATTAATAAACCCCTGGTTGATGAATAGGGTGTCCCCTTTTAGTGGGAATTCATTACTTTTGGAGGGAACACCCCCCTAATAATGGGACGGGATATGAATCCTGGGTCAACATGATGTTCTTAGCTCTGGCTGGAGCCAGAGCTGTAGAAAGTTGGTTGTGGGGCTTTCGCGATAGGTATTTCCATGTACAGCGGCCTTCTGGAAGCTTCCAAGGTGGATTCTTCGACTCGTGCGGGGATGGAAGCAGATGAAACCAGGCGGGGTGTTAAAGCCAAATCCAAAGCCAATGGGCTCCGGTGCATTCTGGTGGGAAGGTGGGTGAAGTGTGGTGCTGTAACACAGAAAGCAAAAACCGGCCCACCATGGATGATATTTTTATCGTTGATCGCTACGATATATGTCACAACAAAAAGGGGGGGGGGGCGCAACCTTGGCACCTGCTGAGGCCGGCACAGGAGGCGCGGCAGCTGATAGAGGCGCGGCAGGTTGGGGCCTGGCATCTGAAGGCTGCGACGCGATGGTTTTGCCTCATTGAGGGAGAGCCTCAGAAGGAATCTGCTTCTGAGATTTGGTTCAGGATTTTGGTTCAGGTGATAATAATCAAATCCAATCAATGAGGCTACAACCCCAAAGCCTCTCGTAGCCAGCAAGCTACCCGGTTTTTTTCGCCTTTTGCCTCAATCAAGCCGATTTCGCGGTGAGGGAAGCCGATCGGTGCGTTGGACAAGTTACACATCAGCTTGGTGGTCTGGAATGGTGGATTGCAGCCTTGACGCTCTAGTTCTTGTTAACGGGAAACCACCCGCGGAGCACTGCCAAACCCGGCAATCTGATTTTCAGTCACCATCTAGGGGCAAGGTGACAAGACTCCGAGACCCGCAGCAAGATTCCACGTTGGTCACCAATGCTCAGAGATCGCCAGCCTAAGCAGGGAAGAATCGACCATTGGACTCGCATACGGATGTATAGGTTTCTATTAAAACCGTGACCGTGAGGATGTCCGACTTGTGAGGAGACTTAACGGAACGCACCAGCGCCTTTTGGATTCACTGGGACCCAAGTGAACACTTTGGACACCAGGCAGGCAGTTTTCAGGATGTCGACGCCTGGAAGTGTGGGAATACTGTGATGGGGGCCCCTTCTGAGGCATGCGAAAATCATTTGCAGCACTGCGGATTCATTCACTGGCAGTGGGTTTTATCCGACTGTTGGACTTCCAGAGCCTCTGCCTGGGGTCACAGGGGCGACCAAAGTGAGCCCCTGATTGGGTGGTTGGAGGGGTCCTTTTGCTACTCTGGATCGCCAGCGGCCTTTGTTTCTCCCCCAAGTAGGTTGTAGTGCGCATCCTACTGGGGCTTCTAAGCACGGAGATCAACGAACTGATTGGCCCTTGGTATGTCGCCCGTACAATACAAGAGCATGGGCCTGTTCCATGTCGGATGGTAGTGCATGCTGATTGCCTGCTGCAACTAGACACACCACTCCAATGATCCCCAAAATACCATGGAATGCCATCTAAGTGGCACACCCATACTTGGCGCTTCCCAGTGATACCCATAGGCTTCCCAGTGATACCCATAGACACAGATAGTTGCGACCTGTCCCAGCAGAAGTCTGGCTTGCAAGGGACCGCCACGTAGATTTTTGTGACTATTTGATTCACATTCACATTCACATCAGCATGCAGATTCGGAGCTCCTTGGCAACCTAGTATTCGCGACTGGATTCGACGATTCGCGGCGATGCAGGGCGCCTCTGAACTACTGATGGACCAAAATTCGCCAAACGCACCACGTTGGGATGGATAAAAACCTATGAATACTGTTGGATAAACCGCCTAGCAGCTGTAGGATTTGGTCCACAGTCTGGCTGCTCGAAATCATAATTTGCCAACTGCCCGGCTCAGGCGTTTCAGCAGCTGCCAGGGGTTCCCAGATTTCCCGACTTGCTGGGGTTTTGCGGGTGCGGTTTTGGACCTCTGTCAACCTTGCGTGCCCTTGTGGGTCTCCAGATTTCCCCTTTGAACCTGGAAAATGAGAACTCACTTGGAGTCAACTGGCAAATCCCGACAAATTGGTGGCCAGCCATCCCAGTCCAGGTTTTCAGAATCAAATCAGCTTCCGAACTTCCCATCCACCCGGCAGTCCCAAAATGCGGGGGTGCGGATGTTTTCTGTGCGGCGGAGTTTTGGACCGTAGGTGTTGGTTGCAGGTCTGGTGGATAGATAAGTTCCACTCGTAGCCAGTTTGTGGCCAAATCCATCCAGTTTTCCAAGCGGACACCTTGGAATCCGGGAGTCGGCGAAGTGTTAAAACAATGCTCGAGTACTGCCAGTCGGTTTGGACGGGTGGTTTGGGAAGCCCCCTGACCTCACCACCGATTCGGCTCCAACCACTTTGAGGGAAAATAATCATGGATACGCTGCTTGCTCATGTCCTTTTGATCGGTCAGCTTGGCAAGCGCCATAGATGAGTTCCACTGGTTTAGATAGGTTTCATGGCTCATTCACCAGGGAAACCAATCTGTAAGGACGTCTGTGCTTAGAACCCCCCCAAAAACGGTCAGTTTCCTTGGAGTTTGCCCCTAGAAAAAAGAAAAAAAAACACAAAAAAGGGGGGGTTCCGTTTCCTTTTTCTTTAAGCAAAAAGAGGACACGGACACGGCTTCAGGTGGTTTAGCCACACCAGGCGTCGCTCGCTCGGCTTCAGCTTCGGGCCCGCTGGCCCCGGGGGATCAGAACTCGGCCATGCGGAGAATCGCGGCCGCTGGGCGGCAGATTCGGCCCGCCTCTCTTTGTGAAAGGAACCGATGGCATTTGATGAGGTCCCCCCAAAAAGTTTTTTTTTTTTTTTTTCCCCCGCCTGTACAACCTAGTTGGTCGTTTTTTTCTTTGGGCGGTCTCCCTCTCTTTCTCTCTCTGGCTCTGTTCTCTCTCTCCGAAAGGGCACTCCGTTGTCGCTTTCCGGACTGCTTCCTTTTGCCCGGCGTTCGGGATACTGGATGAGACAAAGTTGGATTGCCGAAGACTCGATCCGAGCCCTTGAGGGCCCCAAACTGACCGGGAACCTTTCCCACGTGGTGAAAGTCGTATCTTATTTAGTGGTTTGGTAGCAATCTCCCGTCCACGCTCAATCATCAAGGACCTTGTGTTGATCGTTGAAATCAAATTGAAACGGTTTCCCGAAGTATCAGCCACAATCGATTTTTTCCCGGAAAGAGGCTCAAAAGAACCGCACGAGCGCAGATGCCTGGGCTGAGCAGTGTGGTTGGGCGGGCGATTTGATTTCTACTGCCGAAGGAGGTGGCTGGGCAGCCAGGGCCAGGTGGCCAGGGCCAGGTGGCCAGGGCCAGGGGGCCTGTTGAGAGTCTGAGGGTTGGGGCTCCAGGAGCTCTGGTCTTGGGCTGGGGTTGGTGGGCTGCGGGGGTTGGCCGAGTTGCGGTGGCCTGGAGCTTGGGGGCTTGAGTCCGCGTCAGTCAGGCGAGGAACCCGGATTTCCTGTTGCAAACGAAGCCTAGCCACATGCCACTTGAGATCCGTTAGGTGTCAAACCCTCAAGCATTTTCTTGTGGTTCCTCAGACCAGGGTACCGAGCCTCAACCAGGCATTGCCCGACTCAAGAAACCTTCGTCATGTTTTGCCGATTTGGTTTTGCCTCATTCTTCCTTGCCACAAGTTGTCACATCTGCAGGGGGCCCAGATCCACGATGAAAAACACCTGTCCACTCGACGAGCAAAGGTCATCAACCCCTCAGGAACACTTTTTACCATGGTAGGTCATCAACCCCTCAAACAACTCTTTAGCGCCCAGGTCGCCCTTTCGGCCTCCGTTTTGAGCGGCGCCGGCGCCTCCAGCGGCGGCTCGGTGGAGTGCCCCTGCGTGGTGAACGGCTCGAGTGCCTTTGAGGAGCTGACGGCCGGGCTGACAGCCCTGGGCATCGATGTGAACTACGGGCTGAACGGGTGCCAGGCGCGTTTCAAGCGCGTTTCAGGCGCTTGAATTTCAAGGCTCCTTAAAAGATCTCCATTTTTGAAACCATTTGAAACATGTGGCTTTTTCCGGCAAAATGCAGGGAAACCACCATTTACAAAGCAATGTTCAGGTGTATAATGTAAGGATCCCTGTTGAAGTGGTGATGGACACCCATAAAAGTGGGTTGCAAACAAACGGGGCGGCTTTTTGGATGGGGTAAATTTTGTGTGTCCCAGTGATTTCAATTGAAGTGTTCTTTTCAAGACCGCATTGCCACCGAGTCTTTTTCCGTGGTTTCTAGCAAGATAGAATTTTGTAAGGAGTGGGAAAATTACCTTTTGAACCGGAGCCAATGTTGGAAGCTGAATTTCTCAGTTCTTTCGACTCAATCTGTCAAGTTGATTCATTCTGGCCTGTGAGGGAACCACCATGGCAACCCGTGTGCCGGTTTCGTTCTTGGCCCCGGAAGAAACGAAGTGCGGGTGCACGAATTCTGGCTTAAGAACCAGAACCCCCTGTTTCGACGGATAATTTTTTGAACAGTTTGGTGGTTTCAGAGTTGGGGTATCGCCCGACCCTGGCAGGCCTATGACGCGAACTTCTCCCTCTTTGGGTGTGACTTGCGCCGAAAGCACACAGGGGCCACGGGGGCAAACTTAGCACCTGGACACTGGCCCAATTCCTTCAAAGGGCAACGAAAAGGAGGTTGTTCAAAGGGGCGTTTGGGCCCACCCTGCTCATCTAGAGGACTCTTCGTCTTTGAAGGTTAAGCAAAGAATTCTTTGCAAGAGGTCCAACAAGCGTCAGACTACTTGTTCACATCTGTTCTCAGGCCGGATGTATTTTCCAGTTTCGGATATGATTCCTCTGTTCAGATTTTGGTGGCATTCTCACCTTGCCCCCGAAGTTGACGGTTCAGGTGGCTGTGGGTCAAAAATGGGTACCCAAGAAGGAACCCTGGTAAATGGAGCCCGAGACTAAAACAGGCGGTCCATATCCTGGTGGCTAATTTTGAGCCACAGGTGAGTCGAACGAGGGATTGCACTGCCTGAGCCCCTGGTGCTGGGTGGACATGTCGCAGTGCCCGCTGGATGCAGCGCAGTGTGCCGCGGAGGGAGGCGTAGAGGGCAGCCGGACGTCTCCGCACTGCCGCACCCGGCCCTACACTCAGAGCCCCAGTCTGCAGGCGTTTTTTTTTTTTTTTTTGGGGGGGGTGAAAAAGGACCACTGGGGTCGATGGTTTAAGGTTTTTGGGTGTTTTAGGGGACCAGCAATTCTATTGGGATCATTGTCCCCAGGTGATGTGGGCTCCTCAAAAGATACATTTTGCGCCTTTGAAACATGGCTTTTTCCACCAACACAAAGGGAAACCACCGTTTACAAGGCAGTGTTCAGGAGTATAATGTAAGGATCCCTGTCTTTTGCAGGCCTAACGGATTTCGGAGTTTGTAATACACATCCCCCTGTATCCAAACGAAAACCCGGCAATGTTCGCCCTGTCGCGTTTTTTTGTTTTGTTTTCTTTTTTCTTCAGCTTTTCAGGGGATCAACGTCTCAGCCTTCTACAGCTATGAGACCTGCGGATCTGTGTGCCTTCGATGCAGCCCTAGATCTAAACCTTGGCAGTCGATTTGGGCATGCCTTTAAAATGGCGCAAGTTCTCTCTTGGTTTCCCTTTTTCATACCCCAAGAAGGGTCCCTCACAAAGCACACCCATTTCAGGCAGCGATGGTTTTGGTTTAAATGGCGAGAGCTTGGGCGACCGTCCAACTGCAAAGACGGGAGGTCTGAAATGTTCGAGCACTCCATGGGCCACGGCTCGAGTGTAGGCTTCAAGGGTCGGATTTCAAATCCTGGCCCACTGTCGAACTGGTTTGTTTGTGCAACCCAATGGGTGAGCGTATTTTTGCTAAATACCCTATGAGAGGGTTGAATGATCACTCCTTGCCTTGAACCAGGCATTTGTGTGCTACAAGTGCAAAAGGTTTGCTTTGGAAGGTGGTCAAACAAATGCTTCACTTTTCTGGGGAAGTCCCAAAAATGTGCTTGACTCCCAGGAGTTTCAGGGCACCCGCATAATAGGTACCTTGCCTTTCTTCATCAGGGGTGAACTGAACAGAATTTGCCCCAAAAGAACTGGCGAGTTTCCCACTTAGTGCCCCTTTGAACAGTCGTTCCTGGCCCCTTTTTAAAGAAACCCCCCCAAAGGAGATTGTTCGAACAGGTGGTTTTAACTTCAGTTTGATCGCCCAGTTCGGATATGTTGCGACGTCCAGTTTACTACGCCTTGGATCGGCCAAGTTTCTTTATTTGGCCAGAGTTACAGTAATAGCCTAGCCACAAAAGCAGTCCCGAGTGAAACAGTTCTATCTCTGGAGGTTTGGCACTTTAGCCCGTGTTGTGGCCATAGAAAGGGGGCCCGTTTAGTAGTAGGCAGCTAGCTGGGCCGAAGAGTCCCTCCGTGCTTGGCCAGGTTGCAACCTTCATTGCTAAAGCCTCCTAGGCCCTGCACTGGCTGGTGGTTGTTCCCAGTTCAGTTTCATCCGTCCCAACTGATGCACAGCACTTGGACAAATATCCCCCAAGGTCCCGAACTGGGCTGGGTCCCCTATGCCCACCGAAAAGGGGCCATTTGCTGGAAACGCTTTTTACGGAGGCCAACCGCAGGGGGCCAACAGGACACCAGCCATTTTTTGTGTTGCACTTTCCTCTGCACATACACAGGGGCATTTTTAGGTGAGTTTGGTTGAACATCGATGTCGCTCAGGCATGTACCAGCGCCATCTATGTTGCCAAAGGACGCCTATGTGCACATGTAGTGTTGCCCCTAAAAAGAGCCCACCCAAAACCGCGTGGTTTCCGCTTGGTTTCCCGTTAAACCCAACTACCCTTGAGTAGCCCTCGGTTTCAACGCGTGAGCCGAACCCGAGGAACTCCTACAGCGCCACG